ATTCCCCTCAGCGCGAGCCTCCGCGGGGGACCCCGAGGGTTGCCCGGTCGCCGTGAGCGGAGTGCCGCTATGGCGGGGACCCCTTCCGATTCACCTACCTCTAGCTCATGCAGCCCTGGAGGACCCGCGTCTCCCAGTCTGGCTCTGCTAGGAGAGCCGGGCTAGAGGCGACTCCCGCCCGCCTGCCTGCCTGCCTGCCTGCCGCACGGTGGACGTGAGGGGCAGGTGCCTGCTCTTGCTGCTGCTGCTGCTGCCTGCTGCAGGGCGAGCGAGGCTGTGGAAGTGCCACAAGTCCCGAGCGGGTCCGGCTCCCTTCTTAAGGAGGAACCGCCGGAGGGCACATCTCGGGAGCGGGGCGGGAAGGGAGGCTGGGACCGAGCGGTGCCCTTGACGGGTCGCCGGCTTTTCAAAAAGCGGGGAGAGGCCACGAGCTTTTCTCAGGCGACCCTGAGAGTCCTGGCTGCTCATCCTTTCCGGCAGTCCTGGCTGCCGGAGGGGTTCAAGGGAACGTTTCCCGCCTCTAGTGGAGAGCCTGTGCCAGCCTCTCTCTCCAATCGTCCCTTGTGGCGAGTGGCGGGAATCCCGCACAGAGGCTTGCCCGGTTTGGCAGGAGGGAGGAAAGCTTCACAGAGATGGCTGGTGGTCGTGGTGATGATGGCTTTTTCCTGGAAACTCATCAGAGAGGGAGGGTTTTGTTTTAAACGCCTGTAAAGATCCCCTCTAACCTCATGTGTTGGAGACACACATGTAAATTCCTCCTCAGTCGTCACTCACTTGATGAGGGAGTCACTCAGGGGAGAGTTTTGGAAAGGAAAGATGACGAAATCCAAGAAGGTCCAATAATTCTAGCCTAAGGGGCCTTCTCGGAAGCTGAAACGTGCATTCCAAAGACTGCAGTGATAAATTCAAGCACTCATTCTGGCATCTCCTTAGGAACTCCTACCTGAGGAGGAAGTGGAGTTGTCCACAAAAGCTCATATTAAAATAAAGCTGTTAGTCTAAGGTGCCACAACACTTTTGCCTTCCTTTTTTATTCTTATTTTGTTGTTGCCTGATATGTTAGCACAGACTAACATGGCTACCCCTTCTGAAACTGTTCCCAAGGAAACCAACATCCAGGACATTCAGGTGATCCAGGTATCACCAAACCAGTTCTAGCAGTATTTAGTCTCTGTCAGGAGCAGCTTTTTTAAATAAAGCATTGCCAAATCATAGCCAGGCCATTACAAACAATTCTGAGTTGCAAACAGAATTCACAACAGTGTATTGTTGCAAAAAAAAAAAAAGAAGATTTATCTTCAGCTGCTATGAGACTTTTTGGTAAGGCGAAAGAAGAAGAGGCATATGTGCCACAATCTGTCCTGCATTCCTAAAAAGCAAGCCTGGGTAATGTTTCCCAGCTGCCTGAACTAGCAAACTAAGTGCATCTCTCACACTATGCTATGGTGGCATCAAAGGATGGGGCGATGGTGGTGGAACTTGTCCATTCCATTCCAAAGAAAGAAGGGGAGAACATGGCCACCACAGCTCCATGCTCTCTCCAGCAGAGGAAGAAGGAGCAGGCCATCCTACTTCCAGAAGAAGGAGGGGTAGAAGAATTAATTCTGCAGTGGTCCCTGTAAGCCCACTACTACCAGAATTCTGCTCTACGTAGATAAGTGACAAGAAAAAATGCCTTTCCCACTGCATAGGCCATTCTCTAGGTCACTCTTCCCATAGTGTCAAGCTCAAAAGGCCGCTAAGAGTGAGGGCACTGACAAAGCAGCCCGCTCTGAAGAAATGCAAGTAGTAGTGCCAACTTTCTGAGCTGTATAAGTGGGTAGATGGAAGGCAGAGTAAAAAATCTTGTCACCCTCAGCACCACACTGCCTAACCTCAGTGGCGGTTCTGCCCTGCTAAACTAGCCTGCCCTCAGGTGTGGTGGGAGAATGAACTTCTGTCATCAGTGCTGAAGCTAATTAGAGTGCTTCCTGACATCAAGGATGCTATGGCATTCTAACAGCTAGTTAGAATGCCATAGCGTCCTTGGCGTCAGGAAGCACGATGTCTCTGTCTAGCAGCAACAGTGATGACAGTGGCAATTAGATTCAGAAGTTGCAGCAGAGCAGCTAATTCCAGACAGAATCAAGCAGTGGCATTGTTGTTTAGTCGTGTCTGACTCTGCGTGACCCCATGGACCACAGCACACCAGGCCCTCCTGTCTTCCACTGCCTCCCAGAGTTGGGTCAAATTCATGTTGGTAGCTTTGATGACACTGTCCAAACATCTTGTCCTCTTCTTTTCCTGCCTTCACACTTTCCCAACATCAGGGTCTTTTCCAGGGAATCTTCTCTTCTCCAAGTATTGGAGCCTCAGCTTCAGGATCTGTCCTTCCAGTGAGTACTCAGGTTTGATTTCCTTTAGAATGGATAGGTTTGTTCTCCTTGCAATCCAGAGGACTCTCAAGAGTCTCCTCCAGCACCACAATTCAAAAGCATCAATTCTTCGGCCATCAGCTTTCTTTATGGTCCAGCTCTCACTTCCGTACATCACTACAGGGAAAACCATAGCTTTGACTATGCGGATTTTTGTCAGCAAGGTGATGTCTCTGCTTTTTAAGATGCTGTCAAGGTTTCTCATCGCTTTCCTCCCAAGAAGCAGGAGTCTTTTAATTTCGTGGCTGTTGTCACCATCTGCAGTGATCATGGAGCCCAAGAAAATAAAATCGCTCACTGCCTCCATATCTTCACCTTCTATTTGCCAGGAGGTGATGGGACCAGTGGCCATGATCTTTGTTTTTTTATATATTTAGCTTGAGACTGTTTTTTGCACTCTCCTCTTTCACCCTCCTTACAAATTTCTTTAATTCCTCCTCACTTTCTGCCATCAGAGTAGTATCATCTGCATAGTAAAGGTAAAGGTTCCCCTTGACAATTTTTGTCCAGTCGTGTTCGCCTGTAGGGGGGGGAGTTCACCCCCGTTTCCAAGCCATAGAGCCAGCGTTTTGTCCGAAGACAATCTTCCATGGTCACATGGCCAGTGCGACTTAGACATGGAACGCTGTTACCTTCCCACCGAAGTGGTCCCTATTTATCTACTTGCATTTGCATGCTTTCGAACCGCTAGGTTGGAGAGAGCTGGGAGAAGCAACGGGAGCTCACTCCATTGCGTGGATTCGATCTTACGACTGCTTGGTTTTCTGACCCTGCAGCACAGGCTTCTGCTGAGGTTATTGATATTTCTTCTGGCAATCTTAATTCCAGTTTGGGATTCATCCAGTCCAGCCTTTCGCATGATATATTCTGCATATGTTAAATAAGCAGGGAGACAATATACAGCCTTGTCATACTCCTTTCCCAATTTTGAACCAATCATTTGTTCCATATCCAGTTCTAACTGTTGCTTCCTGTACCACTTATAGATTTTTCAGCAGATAGATAAGGTGAGCAAGCACTCCCATTCCTTTAAGGACTTGCCATAGTTTGCTGTGCTCCACACAGTCAAAGGCTTTCGCATAGACAATGAAGCAGAAGTAGATGTTTTTCTGGATCTCTCTGGCTTTCTCCATAATCCAGCGCATGTTAGCAATTTGGTCCCTAGTTCCTCTGCCCCTTTGAAATCTAGCTTGTACTTCTGGGAGTTTTCGGTCCATATACTGTTGAAGCCTGCCTTGGAGGATTTTGAGCATAACCTTGCTAGCGTGTGAAATGAGTGCAATTGTACAGTAGCTGGAGCATTCTTTGGCACTGCCCTTCTTTGGGATTGAGATGTAGAGTGATCTTTTCCAATCCTCTGGCCAGTGCTGAATTTTCCAAACTTGCTGGCATATTGACTGCAGCACCTTAACATCATCTTTTAAGATTTTAAATAGTTCTACTGGAATGCCAGCACCTCCACTGGACTTGTTGTTAGCCAGGCTTTCTAAGTCCCACTTGACTTCACTGTCCAGGATGTCTGGCTCAAGGTCAGCAACCACACTGTCTGGGTCGTCCAGGCTATCCAGATCTTTCTGGTATATTCT